GCTCGCTAATTATGACTTATCTTATTAACATTGCTACTCAGATTTCAGCTTCCATTCTTCTCAATGAATATATTATTATTGAGATTATTATTTAACGAGTGTTATTTAGTATCAAATGCTCTTCGAAACTATGTAACTGAAAGCTTGAAAATAAAACAAAACACGTAAAGCATCAACTGCGTGAGATGTTATTGTGAATAATTTAGAACATAATAATGCTTTGGTCTGGTCGTAGCCCTTTGGTTATTGTGCCAGACAGCGGTTCCAGGGATCAAATATTTGGTTCTGCGACACACCATTGAACATACTCCATTCTTTCAGCAATGGGATCGTTATAAAATAAAAGGTAATCTCGCGAGAAAGCGCATAGGATTAACGAGATTCCCACTGTCCCTATCTACTATCTAGCGAAACCACAGCCAAGGGAACGGGCTTGGAAAAATCAGCGGGGAAAGAGGGGGACCTACTGACTGGTTGTCCACGTCTGATAAATAGGTTTAAAGAGGGACGACTATGCTTAGATCTCTAGGATATATGATTTGGTCATGTGATTGGTTTAGAAATACTAAATTATAGTGTTTTAATGTATATTTTCCTCTCGTGCGATATCGTTTTTATTCTGTTCGCACCATTGCATGGAACTATTTATTTAAAACTCCATGTTTCGGGATATGCAAATTTTATTCGAGTTTGTTTAGCCCTTATATAAGAATTTTTATATCAACTATTCAAAGTAGTTGAGAAATACAGAGCATTAATTAAACTTGTAGATTTTTCTCTAACAATTTCAAAATACAGAGCATGAAATGTGTAACTTTTTCTCTAATAGTTGAGAAATACAGAGCATTAATTAAACTTTTAGATTTTTCTCTAACAATTTCAAAATACAGGGAATGAAACGTGTAGCGTTTTCTCTAGTAATTGAGAAATAAACAGCAGGATTAGCCTTGCATTCTTAAAGTCAAGTTGTTTGTAAGTTATTGAGATATCCTCAACCATTTCTTTGTAAGAGCTGTTTTCGAGGTATCTGTGACTGGACGTTGTACGTCTCTCGAAAGCACCTTATATGTATTCAATGCAACAGAAGTCAGATAATCCACTACTTTTCAAGAAATATGTTGACCAGCTTAGTTCTGTGAAGGCAGGCGTTACCATCCATAAGGCTAAAACTAGGACTTACTGCACTAACATATGACAGCACCAAGGGTCGTAGGACACGGTGCCAATAATGTTCGGTATTGATGGTATCATTTCGTATGGTATCATAATTTGTTACCTCTACCAGTGCTTATTCTTTCCCATACCATATTTCCATCACCGCCATAAAGTTTTTATGTTATATATATATGGAGTTTGATTTGGTTTCGAATTTTCTCCAAATGTCATCTGATTAAAAAGTGGTTGCAGGATCATCTGTAAAAATAATACTACTCCACGTGAGCGGGCATGTTTTGGCATCATTGAAGGAAAGCTATTTTATGCCTTGCTGTAAGTGGAATATACCTCACTGTGCGTCTGATATGCAGGCAGACCTGGTAAAATCTGTTTCTAACTGCATGTACATTAACATGGTGTCCATTTTCGGCTGCGAACGTTTGATTCAGTCTCGGAGCAAGCTCCCTACTATTTCGGCGAGCCGGAATCAACATATAGTTGTCGTCTGTTTGTGCTGATAATGAATATTGCCTTTTATAGGCATCTGGGCAATCGTGTCGTAGTTTAGAACTATTCAACAGTATACTAATGGCACGTTCAGAACACTTATAGCTAATTCGCAACCGCCTGCTGCTGATGACCTGTTTCAATTGGTCCGATGACTCTCCACAAAGTGAAACACTCAATGCCTTAATTGAGATCTATCGTGATTCACTGGCAATTTAGATTTCATCAAACCTTATGATTCACTTCCAAGTGGCCATTGAATCAAGACCATTATATATATCTAGCATTGGCCAAATAACCAATAATTTGCTTTTCAGATCAAATGACTGACACACAATGCCCGCTTTGCGTAACTTTTGGATGTGGGCAGATGACTGACTTTATTTTATAGCAACGATTTTGTCATAGTATTAAAATTCCAATTATATTTGAATTTTGTGCGTGTGTGTGCGTGAAGAATACTTCTGTCAAGAATATAAATGATTGAAACTAATATAAAGTATAAGTGCTTTTTTT